CCCAAAGGTCATACACTGCCACAGTGACATTTATTGTATTAACCATTTTCTTGGGTTGTTTAGAGTTAACCTATGAAGGTTTTTTCTTACTTTCAAATATGTGCACTTAAAATGGTGGCTGCTTACATTAAATACGGCCATCAAAAGCTTCAGACACATCTAAGTGCTTTGTGTTGGACAGTTTTTCTTGGTTCTGTATGATGTCACAGGGGACACATGATGTCCCTGTCTGTGAGTTGTTTGGTACCGTGCTGCAAGAGTTGAGGCTCGGGTGTGAAATTTATGGTTTTCAGGGTTTTTATCGTTATTTTGTTTATCATTTTTATCGTTAACTCAGTTTCCCTGGGTCTTTTCCTGTGTGTTATGAATGAATCTTATTTATTTATTTTTTGCTACCGGTACTGGTGTTATTTTGTTGTATTTAGTCCGCCACACCTTAAAGGCTGGTCTGTGAAAATGTTGTCTGACATAAATGGTAAATGGCCTGTATTTGTATAGCGCTTTACTAGTCCCTAAGGACCCCAAAGTGCTTTACGCATACAGTCATCCACACATTCACACACTGGTGATAAACCGGTCCGTGGTGCAAAAAAGGTTGGGGACCGCTGATCTAAGACACAGAAACCGCAGCCACCTGATGCTCTGATCTTCTGCTTTTGAAGTGCAGCCAATCAGAAGGCATGTGACTAAAATGGCTTTTTTCCAGTTAGCAGATGAACTGTATGAAATAAATTGATTATTTTGAAGTCCAAGAGTTTAAACTTGGAGCTGAAAATAAGGTTTTATGGTTCTTCCTGAGTTAATATAACCATCCGTGCGCTTGCCTCTTTTACGTTTCTGCAGTAAAAAGGAGGTTCTGTCCAGGCTGCACTTCTCTCCGGTGCCCGTCTTTGCTCTGGGTAACTGGATCCCCAGAGTGCTTTACTACTGGAGCTGCATGGGACACAGCTGTGGTCTTTCCCAGGCTGCTTTCATCTCAGAGGGTAAGACAGTGCATTAAATCAGACTCTGCAACTGATTTTTCTCTTGACCTGCCTGATTTTTAGAGGAGTGAAGTCAGAAGGTTAATTTCAGGTCTGTTTATTAGTAGTTATTAATATTTAGAATGCAGAGGAATGTTGAGAGCAAGCATTTATTTGTAACCCTTGGCTCCCCCCTGCAGAGTGGAAGATGCCTGTGATCATTAAAAGACTAGATGCCAGATATGACTGGCTCATGGCACGCTGGGGCTCAAAGTCCTATACAGTGATTGATGCTGGAGATGGGTGTGAAACCTTCCCCTCGGTGGCAGGCGCTGTGGCCTGGGTGTCTGAAGGCAACTGTTCTTTCTTCACTAAGGTCTGTTAGTGTCAAATTGAATGAATGTTTTTGCTTCCAGTTTGTTGACATCTGTGGCGACGTGCTTAAAGTTCAGTGAAATTAAATCGAACTGGGAGGATCCGGAGACTTTAAAGGCTTTTTTTTTCTTGACATTTAAAGCTTGACTACATAAACACATCAGATCTCAATGGAAAAAACAAACATGCTGGATATCTATACAGATGTGGGCTGGGTAATGTGTTAGGGATGATGGTATGCTATGTCATTTGATGGAAGTAAAAATGATCAACCTACAGAGGACAGAATTGAAAGACAACTCAAAAATCAATGACAGAATAATGAAACGATGGAGGAGAAACCACAAGTCTTCATGCTGAGAGGCTGAAACCAATAATTCTTGGTTTTTATTTGACTTTTATTTCTTAATAATTTGGGAACTTTTGGCTGGTGAGGCCAACACTCCCTGGTCTCCGGTGTAGCTGATGGACATCAAAGCTGTGCACTGATCTGTTTGAATGAGGGGGAAAAATATATAAACTTCATGATTTAAAAAAAACTAAATCATTGGCAAACTGTACTGATAGTTTTGGGTTTGCATTTCAGCAAATCCAATCCCTCATTTGCTCTCTACACAGACTGTTTACCCACATGTAGTCAAAGGCAGCTCAAACATGATTGGCCAATAGCTCTCGGACCACTGGTGGAACCAGAAAGCTTCCAGTATCAAAAGTTTTGCCCCTTGCCGACAGATTCATAGGCAGATATGTCTTTATTGAGATTATTTATTAAAGCTTTAAATTTAGATATATTTTTAAAACCTTTATTGGAGACTTTCCCCCAACAGACATGCACCTGTGAGGAAACTGTGCTGATCACTGAGCCACTGTGCTGCAGATTGCTCAACTTTGTTTTTTACAGCATATATCAAAGTGTGGGATGGACTCTGTGGATAGTTGGTTTTATGAAGTCTGCTGATGGTTCTGAGTCAAATCACTCTTCCCCTTGTTAGGGGAAGAGTGATTTAAAGGAGGAGTTAAGCACAGAGAAATCAGGAAGCTAAGACCACAGACAATTCTGGTGAAAAATAAAAATGTTTCATTTGTTTAATTTTTTTTTTTTTTTTTTCTTCAAATCTATGTGACACAAACCTTTACCATAAATGT